AGTTAAGTTAATAAGTTAATTTTATATTAATTTTTATAACTTAACTACCTAGTTAATTTTGGGTTTTCATTAACTTAACTGTTAACTGTTAAAAATTACATATCATTTGCGCCAAAATAAATATTTTATATCAGTAGTTTTTCTAAATTGATATATCTTAAAATTAAAATTAACACATTTTACACAAACATTATATCATATGCATTTTTAACATAATTTATTAACAATTATTATTAATAATAAGCAAGTATTAACATGCACTTTTAACCACACCTATGAATATATTCATAGACAGTCCTAAGTCTGTTAAGGGAGAAGGAAAATGTATGTAGGTGTACTTTAATCATTTACTTATTAAGAGGGTATTAAAAGGTCAGGCCAAAAGGTAACTGTGCGCAAACCATGTGCATGTTTAAGGTTCAACTGTTCGGTGTTCCCAAACGAGTGGTAGTTTTGTGCCCAAAAAAGTTGCCTTTTTGGTATTTGTGCGCAAACCAGTAACGCCCAACCAGCCAGCCTACCCATATCATCGGAACGCCGCAGCATCTCAACACACCAGCAACCTTTCGACCACGTAGTACTCTGTAATGTATGACACATTTCCCCCTTATATATATTGATAATATAAATATTGTATGTAGGCGTCAAAATGCGCATGCCTCCTATGAGTTCCCTATCATCGACTGTCCCAAGCGTAGCGCCACCCGGCCACACTATTGAAAACTTGCACATCGTTCGTACACTCCCGGTAACCCTGCGAGTGCCCCCACGAGCAATGTGGTGGGCTGTCTCCTGTGGGCCTGGAGTTCAACTTTACTATTATCACGAGTAACAAAAATTAAAGCTAAAACAAATTATTAATATGTCAGGGAACGGTATGTTTTCGTGCGACGTAATAGTACGTCCGTAGCAGTGAAAGGGTTAATACTAACAATATATAAATATAATATAAAATATCTTAAGTTGACAAATTGCATCTGGCCTTATTTTTTAAACATATTTATTTTACCTACATAATAATGATATATTTTGTAATCTCAATGGCAACGAAAACGTGTTGTTTATAATTAATTTTGAAGTCTGAAATATATATTTTGTCTCGTATTTTGGTAAGTAATTAAGAGGGGTCTCAATTCAAAACGTACTTTTTCCATTTTTGACAAAATCGAGTTAGATATTGATTCTAGTAGAAATAATTGCGGGAAATCGAATGGTGAGGTCAATTTTTGGCTAACCTCACTTATTCCCTATGAAATAGTCGATCAAAAATCGCTTTTTTCTGCAAAACGTTCCTTTTCCGGGTGTACGTTTTAATCAAAATGAACTATTTCTAATTTCCTGCAAAATGCACTTTTTCCTCATATGTCAGCATAGGAGAAACAAATTGTTCATAGCAAAATGTGCCATTTCCTTAATTTCTGAGCAAAACGTACTTTTTCCATTTCTTATCAAAAAGTACTTTTTCCTTTGTAATTGTAATACAAATTTAATATTTTGACCATCAATTTTTTTCATAACGCACTTATTTTATTTTTTCATAACCTCATTAACAAAAAAAAAGTTATTATATTTTTAATAATTAAAATATAAATTTGTACTCAGGGAAATGAAATTATATTTATTTATATTTATTTTATATTCAAAAAAATATTTACATATCGTTCCTAACTTCAATAGAACAATAGAATCATAGATGACAAGATACGTTTTGGAGCGAAAATCGTGGTAGCCTACTTATCAGCTCTATTGTTATTCATGATAAAATCATTAAAATTTAAAAAAATGTGTGAACTTTTTTAATTTACCTTAAAATAAAAAGTATTGTATTAGTAATTTATAGGGCTCGGATTTTGTAGCAAAATAAATCCTTAAAAAAGCATTTTAAGTAGCCAAAAAAAGCATTTATTAATTTAATTCTAAAAAAGCAAATTTCAATTACACATAAAATTAAATATTAAAAAAGGAATTCACAACCATATATTATTTAGTCTTTGTTTTCTTTAGTTTTTGGACATTTCAGAAATGTTATTTTCATCTCGGCAATCAGACGATCAACTTTTGGGAAATGTGCACGCATTTCTTCACACGCATTATGGAGGGCATGAGCTAAGCATGTCATATGCAAAGCTTTTGGATACAGTGTTTGAATACAGCGGCCAGCTTTTTTCAAATACGGCGCGGCATCCGAAACAAATAATAAAATGTCCTCGTGATTAACATTATTTGGCCATAAAATATGCATAGATTTGTCAAATAATTGAAAAATAGTACTATGGTTCACTTTGTCTAAATATTCTGTGTGAATAAGATAAGTTTTACCAACATCTTGTGGTTTCAAAATACCAATAATGACATTAGCTACATTACGTCGCACACTGTCAATTGCTTCATCTATGCAAACCCATATTTTTTGACCATTCAAAGCATCGCGTATTTTAGTTATCGTATTAGTGTAGCAAGAATCGAAGTATCCTTTTCGTAAAGTTGATTCATTTGGAATAGTTTTATTGCAATATTTTGAAAGAAATGACCGAAAATGTTCGTTGTTTAATTTGTTTATAGGGGGATATTCGCCGCTACAAATGCGGAACATAGGTCAGCATTAAAATCAGACTTACAAAATTGTTGAATGAATGGCTGAACTGCATTATGTTTTTCAGCTTCAAGTTTTTTCAATGCTTCTTTGTGTTTTTCTCTGCCAATATGTTGTTGAACTTTATATTTTTTATTCGAACCTATTTTGACTTCACACAATTTACAAAATATAATATTTCCGTCAGTCATAAGCACATTTTCACCGAATTCTCTTACGATTTTTTTTAATTTTAAATTTAAATTTTTAACTTTTGGCATTTTGACGATTAAAGAAATTATTTAGAACACTATACGTTTATACCTCACTGATTGTTGATTGATATTTACCTGCCAACTAAAGTATTAGCACGTGCTATAAAAATACGTAGATAATTTTCCCTTTCCTTGAGTCGTAAATACAACTATAGATAATTGTAGATAAAACTATTTCGGCACAATAACGACAGTTATTTTATCAGTCATATATTTATTACTGATTTTTTCACTGGTTTTATAATTTCTGGTTATAATAATATAGTCCAAGACGTATAATATACATAGAAATAAGCTAAGTTTTCAAGAAAAATATATAAAATTCAAGAAAAAATAACCAAATAGGGGAAAAGCAATAAAAAGCAGATTTTTATGGAAAAAAGCAAAAAAAAGTTTACTTCATTAAAATTAGAACGATTCAAAACGTATTTATATAAAAGAATTATCTTTCTATCACACTTCCCTCAAAATAAGCATTTGCTACAAAATCCGAGCCCTAGTAATTTATTATATTGTAAATTAAATATAATATTATTATGAAAAGAGCACGGGCCATAAAATTATTGGAGACAGAAAAATCAGTAAATTGCTTTTATCTACCTAAATACCAAAATATTATTATAATTTTTTTTTTTAATAAAGTACTTAAAGGTTTTTGTTTGATATGTTAGGGACTACACAGCCTAAAAGATTATTCTATAACAGATCTATTAAAGGAAACCTCTATAATGTCCATGCTGATAAAGGAGAGCATACTATAACAAAGGTTGTTCATCCAAGTAATGTAATTACTATGTTATATTTTGTGGATAATATTACAAAGACATATTTTTTAAGTAAACCACTAAATTATACAAAATTGTTGTTAGTCATTTGTTATAAACTATTTATTTTATAAAAAAACTACCATCAACATACATAATGCATAATCTTATATCGTGTTATCATATAATGTTAGGTTAAAAATAATAAATTAGGTAGGTAGGCAGGTAGATATGTTAACATATAAGGTACCTACCTACCTACCTACCTACCTAATTTATTATTTTTAACATAAGATTTGTTTTTTTCCAAAAAATGCTTATTTCAGTGTTTTATTCAAAAGGGACTTATTCCTGGAAAAGGTACGTTTTGTTCAAAATAACTTTCTTTAAATTTAAAAATATGCTAAAAAAAAATTAATGAGATAACTTTCGATATCAGAAATTGATTTATCATTTTTTTTACCTATTTTTCAATATATCACATTTCATCTAAATCGTTTAAAAATCAGAGAAACAAAAAATGAGCTGTCTTGAAAAATTAGAAAAATGGAAAAGGTACGTTTTGAATTGAAACCCCTCAATTTTTATAGGTACTTAATAATAAATATAATGTGGTGTATATTTTTTAATTTATTTTAATTTTTTGATTTACAGATAATATGTTTATTGAATTTGTTTCAGAAATCGCCGGTGAGGCTATTTTATTTGGGCTGAGCCGGTTGATCGACTATTTACTAGTCCCAACTCCAAAGTAAGTTTAGCTGTGTAAATACTGATTTAATTAATTGATTTTTAATCATAATATTATAAATAATCATTTGTAATTTATGTTATACTACATAGACCCAATTTCGATTCGACCCAGAAGAGATACCATTTGTATTAATGATGTTCATGATGCTGAAATGGTTGAAAAAATGATTCAACAGAAAATCGAAAAAAGGCATGTCCACTAAGACACAGGAAACATAATATTTTATACTGAGTGTTGGAATCTACAAATAATGTGTTTTATAAAAACGATATTAGGTACCACTGATTATCTCAGATGGGTGATTTTGTATTGAAATGGGGTTTTCGGGAGGTGATAGGGAGCACTTAAATACATATTTTCAGATCAGTTTAAAATTTTTAGCTCACTCGGTACGCGCATGTACAGTACGACTTACTTTTTTTTAAATGGCAACCCCAGTTTTTTAATGCAGATTCAGGTAAAGTATTTTTTTTTAAACATTTATTGTATAAAAAGTTTTTTTCTATTTTCAAAACTGACCCAGTTAGAGTAAGTCAAAAGTTGGATTTGTGTATAATATGATTAATATGTGTAAATGTGTTTAGTGCAATTTTCATTTATAACCACTGGAAATAATAAACGATTTACAATACTTTCTAATCTGCTGTAGTACAGTTACAGCATATCATACGCGAAAACAATTTTTTGGCGTGGGACCAAAGTGTTCGTCTACGTTTTACCTTTATTTCTACGCTAACCGCTTGTGGCACCTGCTCGTGGACTTGGATCCCGGACTCTGTCGTTTCACTAGACGCCACGTCCTGATCATTTTCGATAATCGTTACCGGGTCGACTATTTCGACCGTCGAAACTTGGGCCGGCAAGTTTTGTGCACAGGCAAAGGGCAACTCCGGTACACAGGCGTTCCTCACCAAGTCCTTTACACAATTTTCGACCAGTCGCCGGAACGTAGACCCTGCTGGTATTTGGTCTACTAAATCATTAATTGGCACATTTCTTTCCGAAGCAATGTTGCCATAATAATGAGCTTTTAGCCGCTTAGCGGCCATCGCACCGTAAAACTGGGCCCGGCTTGAGAATATTTGGTCCAAATCCACTTCGGGTCGACTTAAAGAAATCTGCGTAGGCTGCATTATGTAAGCGGGGCGACGACGTTTAACCGTATTTTTTATGTAATTTTCTAAAGCCCTTACCAGCCGCTGGAATATGAATTCCGTGATCTGGTCCACCAAATTTGTCTGTCCATTTAAGTCGGGTGTCGCTGCAGCAATGTTTGCAAAATAAATTCCTTTTAGCCACTTAGCGGCCATCGCACCTTAAAATCGAGCCCGGCTTGAGAAACCATGATTCAAATCCTCGGCCGACCGACTTAAAGAAATGTGCGTAGGCTGCATTATGTCTACGTTTAGCGTTTTTTCCTGCCAACACCGGGTCCATAGCACCACTGCAATCTTTTACATGGCTTGTTTTACAGACATAATCCAACACTTCAGACTGGTTCGAAGTATTATCTGAAGACATATTAATTGTTTTAACTTTTAAGAGACGAACGTACAAGTTATAAATTGTAACAATAACTGTGAGCGATATCTCTGACACTAAATTATGAAGTGAACCACAAAATTATGTTATTTAACAGTATATGCTGACATGGCAACTATATATGTTTGAATATTTTGGTAACTATGTATGGACTAGGTAAGAAATAAATATCAATTCAAATTTTGCTTGTAAATAAAACTGAAAAATAATTAAATACTGGAGCACACAAAGTGATTTATCAAGCATGCTAACCCGCATAATATTTCATCTTTTTTAATGTTTATAAATTGACGTTTATATTTATGACACTGGCTTTTGGTTTATTAAGCAAAAATATAATTCGCAAACATGTCTTATCTCCTTACGATTGTAGACGTTTGACAGAGGAAATCTATATTCTGTATTGCTGTATGTTAAGTTCCTTAAAATACGAACAAATTTTTCTTTGGTCTGAATTTGCCAAAGGCCAATAAAAATTAGTCAACAGACATATACAATGTTTGGATATTATGTTGTGTGGAATATGATGGAGCATAGCGTACCTATCCAAGATCTGTCTTCGTAATATTTTTCAATTGATATTTTAGAAATATATCAGGAGCCTTGAATTCAATTTTTACACTTTTGGCACAACAGACTAAACCTTATTGATATTTATAGAAATAAAAACTAAAAAAATTTAAAACTGAAAATGTCCGTAAACAGCTCAAAACAAGTCAAAATATTTTGAAAATGATATCACATATAAGAATCGATAAAATAAACATTCGGTGTAATTTTCATGTATCTACGGTTATTCGTTTTGGAATTACAACAAAATAAGGAAATTGCTATATGAGAAATCGAGTGAATATCCAATGTTGTAAAAATTTGAATTTCAAACGGTCATAAAAATTTATTTTGACTTTCTTAAGGACATTTTTTTTTTTGATAAAAGTAGAAAAACTTATGAGGAATCACGTATTACATTTTCATATGTTAGATTTAAAGAGAACAATTTTTATGAATTCTTAACTTCAAATAATTTGATAATATTCGTAATTTTTCCATATTTTGTCAAGATTTGAACTTCAAATGATTATAAAAAAAACTGTGACTAAAGATTTTTAATATTTTTCAAATGTCAATGTAACAATATAGTAGAAGCCTTGTATTAAATTTTTACACTTTTTGGCCCAACAAATAACACTTTATTGATAATCATGGGAAAAAAAATAAAAAAAATTTAAATATGAAATTGTCCGTAAACAGCTCAAAACAAGTCAAAATATTATAGTGTATAGAAAATTTCAAATATAAACAACCAGTGGAAATTTCATGTATTTACATGATTATTTGTTTTAAAGTTACAAAAAAAGCCAAAAGCGATTTTGTGTAAAAATTCTCGTTTTTCCTTAATTTTTATTTTGTTTTTCTTGGTGCTTTTGAAAATTACCGGGAATTTTAAAAATATGATCTCCCCAATACACCAAAAATATTCACTTTTATAGCAAAGAGATGCTTCGATATATCACTTCGAGGGGGGGTTTCTGGTAAAACTATCAGTTATTTCCAAATAATTGGAAAAAACAATAACAAAACATTATGACAAAATCAAAATTCATAACTGTTTATTTGTATTATAATTCAAAAATAAATAACTGTAGAGACTTCATATATTTTCCAAGGATTCATATTAAGCATTTACTATACATGTTATAACTATATGATAAAAATGTCGTTTTGGGTGTAAAAAGATTGACAATTTATTACAAGGTTTCTCGTAAGATATTCATACAAAATTTGAAAATATCGAAAATACTTAAGTTACGATTTTATGATAAGAATTTAAAGTTGAAATTTTTACGAAATAAGAATCGTTACATAATGAATAGACTCTGCTTAGAATCGTTTATTAATTTCACAATGTATCTACAAACAAACAATGTCCTAACACACATATTCAAGTCCATACTATATCTTAGTTCGTAATTTTTATATAAATTATAAATTTTACTAACGACCACATGCAGCCCTCGCTCTGCAGGTTGCCGACCCCTGATCTAGGGTTTGACATTTACATTACAATTATCCGATAATATTATAATTTAGTACAAACCTACTTTAAAGTTTGTTGAATTTATATGAAAATTACGTAAAAGTATATAAAAATCTTAAAATTTGGTTCAAAATTCAAAATGCCTCAAAACTAATAATGTTAAAAAACTTTTTAAAAAAATACAAAATTAAGGCTTCTTATTCTGATTCAAAAATACATGAAACGTACATGTAGTAAGTATTCGGAAAACAATGCAAAGTGCATCGAAATCTCAGCCTTAATAATAATATATTGTTCTGAATTGGAAGGTTAATCGAACATTACCTACCTAATTGGTAAATCCATATTTATAGGACTGTGGCGTGCGAACTACAATTTCCCCTACCCTCTTCAATATAAAAAAAAATTACTTTTAGGTAGGTACTGAATGGAGCCTGAACCTATTGTTGTACTATTATGTGTTGTTTTTTTTTTAATGAGAAAGAGGTAATTTAAATTATTCACACATATTTAAATAGGGAAATTCGACATAGATATTGTATCTAAGCCCTTAGGTCTTAAAGCTTAGGGGTTAAAAGTGTAATTTTTCGTAATAAATAAGCAAATTGTAAAAACTTAAAGGAATGTGTCTTTTAATATATTCAACTTTTATTGTTTGGATAGACATTTGGAAATTTGTTATTTTTATATTAACGATCTGAAAATGGATTATTTATTACAAAGTCAATATTATTCTAATTTTAATAACATTCTAGAAGCATTTTTTTACGAAGCATTCTATAATTTTGAATTACTGCAGTCTGCAGTACCTATACTATTTTTATTTATTCAAATATAGTTTTAATTTTGTTTATTAAGTATGATAGTTAATACACATGTGTTCTCATCATTATGATGTTAGATACAAAACGCAATTTTTTTATTAGGCTTTTAATATTTTTTTTTGACGCCCTTAATTAATAGGAAATATAAATAAGAAATTGCATAATTTCCTTATAATAGAACAAGTATCTGTAAATTATAGCCTTGAGTCGCGAAATATTACTTTAAATCGGTGAGTTATGAGTGTAAAATTTAAAATTCAAACCAAGAGGTAAAAAGTGGTGCCAATTTAGTGTACGTATTAAGTGTACTACAGTATTGTCAACTTAATTTCTGGCACTTTGAAAAAAAAGAATCACCGAGAAAATTTAAATTGTATGAAGTTTATTGACACGGTGGACGCATGCGTGATGATAAGTTTTTGACAAATCATTTTTGTGGATCTAATGATGTGTATGTTAGGTACCTACTTGTAAATGTTTTAACTATATTTGTTTGAAAAGATATATTTTAGTTATGTTAATGTGTATAATGCATTAATGCTTGCTGCTTAGTAATTAATTTAAGAACATATTTTTAGTCTTTGACCGAGGTGAAAATAATGACTAGGTCCTCGTATACAAAACATGTTGATTAGTCCAAATATACCTATGGTATTAAAAAAAAAAAAGACTTATTATAGGTACCTATAATAAATTCCAAATGAATCATATCACAATATCCATTAGGTACTTATAACGCGTTACACATCAACAACAAACCCTGATACTATTATAGATATATAATAGTGTACTTTAGAAATTTCAAGTACCCAAGAGTCAAGACTAATATTAAACAATCACAACGAAATAACTAAAATAGTTCGGTATTCTAGGTTTTTTTTTATGTAATTTCATTCAAATTTTAACCTTAAATGAGTAATGACTATAAAAATAAACTGTGTGTATGTATTTTCTTAGATATTCTGGTAACAGAATTAACTACTTATGTGGAATTTGGTTTTAAATTTTCAATCCTTAGCTATAAAAGTTGAACATTTTATAAATTATTAACTACAAAATAATTATTCAATTTTAAATTTGATAAATTTTGTCAAAATTCGATCTTTAAATGCTTATAAAAAAAAATTGTGACTTTGTATTTTTAATATTTTTCAATTGCTATTGTAACAATATATCAGTAGCCTTGTATTAAATTTTTACACTTTTTGGCCCAACAGATAAAACTTTATTGATATTTATAGAAAACAAAACTAAAAAACATAAAACCTGAAAATGTCCTGTAAACAGCTCAAAAAGAGTCAAAATATTTTCAAAATTGAATGGTGTATAGAAAATGCTAATTTAAACATGCAGTAAAATTTTCATGTATCTACATGGTTATTCGTTTTTTAATTACAACAAAATAAGGAAATCGCTACATGAGGAATCGAGTGAATATCCAATGTTGTAAAAATTTGAATTTAAAACTCTCATAAAAATTTAATTTGACTTTCTTATAGACATTTTTTTTTTGATAAAGGTAGACAAACTTATGAGGAATCTTTTATTACATTTTAAAACCTTAGATTTAAAAAGAAAAATTTTTACGAATTTTTAACTCAAAATAATTTGCTAATTTTCGTGATTTTTCCATAATTTGTCAATTTATGAACTTTAAATGCTTAGAAAAAACTGTGACTAAGGATTTTTAATATTTTTCATCTGCCTTTGAAACAATATACTAGGAGCCTTCTATTAAATTTTCAAGCTTTTTCAGGCAACAAATAAAATGTTATTGATATCTTTAGAAAAAAAACTAAAAAAAAAATGGAAAATGAAAATGTCCCTAAACAGTTCAAAATAAATCAAAATATTTTGAAAATGTTATCGTGTATAGAAAATGCAAATATAAACAACCAGTGAAAATTTGATGTATATACACGTTCATTTGTTTTAGAGTTACACCAAAAACCAAAATCCATTTTTTGAAAAATCCATTTTTTGGAAAATCCATTTTGCGTAAAAATTCCCGTTTTTCCTTAATTTTTATGTTGTTTTTCCCGTCGCTTGTGAAAACTACTGGGAAATTTTTACTTTTGACCTCCTAAAGTACCAACTAGATTTACTTTCCTATCAGAGAAGATACTGTTGAAGAAAATCCAAGCACTTTTACTGTCCTATAACGTGATGACAGACACAAAAAAAAATAAAAAATAAAAAAAAACACACATCATTGTAAAATCAATACATTCATCGTTTCACTCAGAATCTAAAAAATGAATAAATAAAAATTCGTTTGTAAAAATTATTGTTGTCTATGAAAAAAATATATAATAATAATAATAATTTATAAAAAAAAAATGTGTTGTTCATATTACAAAAACTTCAGCCATATCTCTCAAAAATGCATTAAATAAAATTTGTTTGCAAATAAATGTTGTAAACATATTATTAAGTCACTTAATTTAAGTGCATAAATTGTGGTGTGTTGGTTAAGTGAGGTTACGTGACATACTGCAGAGCTATTGAGCACATACTTTTACAAAATGTTGAAATATTGTTATCAGTGTCTTAGCCGTGTCAAGCAATTTAGCGCCCCGGGGCAATTCGTGCCCGCTTCCCTACAATTAACGGGCCCCGGCCCCCGGGTAGTATATTAAGCGCAAATAAAGGCGTCCCTTACTTTTTCAAAACTATGCCCCCACCCCCTTAACACGGCTCTGATCTGTGTATAAGGCCATAAAGATAAAGTGTTCACCGAAGAAAAAGATTGTAACTGTATCTAATAAAAATAAACTTATGCCTGTCTAAAAACCGGCCGGTCGCAGGTAGACCGCATCCTTCAGCGGCCTACCGGCCGGTAGAACGTGTTCGCCGGTACACCGCATACTATATAATATAAACAAGATTATGATTATAAAAGAAACAGAAAGGTACCGTCCATAAACATCAAAACAACATTAAATCAAATAAATTAATTTTAATTAAAAAAATATATTTGTTAAAATGTATAATGTTATTTCTTATTTTATATTCATAAAGTAATAAAAAAAAAACACGATTTTTCAAAAAATGTATTTATTATTTATATTTAAAATATCAGTTAATACTTCATTCATATAAAAAAAAATTGTACGACTTGTAAAACAACTTAATTTGACATCAGACCACATGAAGGAGAGAAATTAAAAATGAAAATAAACATAAATAATTAATATCCACAATCTAAATAATAGATATTATATATAGAATCTTCAATCTACATAATACTATTATTATTTCGTTAATGTTGATTTTGAAAAAAATTTTAGAACTGTCTCTGATACATGTAATATAACCGACAATTGTGAGTTACTACCCAACAATGAATATTATTGTGAATTGTTTGCAAAAAAATTTCTTTATTTGTATTTACCATTCAGTATTGTATGTGGACAAGATTGATGATGCCACAAGATGTTATGTCAAAATATTCGGTTAAAACTGTTACAAACGGTAATGTAGAAAAGCATTTTGATAACGTAAAAAATCCTTCGATGAAAGGTGAAACAAATATGAAACTTGGTCGTTTTGTTAATAAAATTCAAATTTACACTGAAGCCGTGTGTAAAGAAATAAAAGATAAAATACCAAGGGTATTGTACAAACGTAAAAAAAACCAAACACAAATTCCATTTAGACATTTTTTAACATACCATAATTATGCATTATTGAGTTCACAGTCTAATAAAAAATGTAAGCAGAGTAGCTCAGAATGGGATGATGGTAAAACATTTTACAATGGTCACTCAGGGAATATCTTTGTTGAAGAACAATGGAACAAACGATCAAAAAGAGTTCAAAGTCATTTTAGTCATACTAATATTCAACGGTTGAGTTATGACTGGCAGTATAAAAGTACTGAAAAAGTTGTTCAATATGATGATGATCAAAATGGACAGGATAAAATATTAAACTTACCTCGATATTCCAACCACTTGTTCACTGATATTAAATATTATTCTCCCTGTTTAAGTGAACAGTATGTAGTTGGTGTGTATTCGGGTGAAGGCTATAAGTGTGTGAGTGTGACTCTGTATGGTGAAAATGTTCGTAAATTGCAAAACAACACCTGGTTAAATGGAACTGTGATTGACGCACTGCTATTGACTTATGTGAATAATGAAATTGGTTATATTCCTGCGGAAATTAGCAATACAATTCGGTCAAGTACCAAAGTTAAAATAGCCAAATTTGATTAGACTAAATACTGTGTGTTATTTCTACCTATCAATCCTGAAGGTAATCATTGGACATTATTTATTATGGACTTCATTTTGGGTTGTGTATTTTACTTGTATCCTCTGCGTCCAGAATCAGGTGACTTGTACTTACCTCGATTAAAAAAAATGTTGTTTTAAATGTGTGGTAATGAAAAAGCAAAATATTTACTGCATAAAATGGTTCTTAAAAATATTGAGTATCCTTTACAGAATGATGGTAACAGTTGTGGAGTGTTTGTGTTGTATTATTGTAGTACATACAATCCAATGTTTACTCAGAGCTTTTCAAAGAAAGTTAATGTGAGCGATTGAAGAAATACATTGCAGCATCGATGTTTAATGTAGGTACTCACTACTCTGATAATATCAGTGAAAGATGCCTTATGTGTGAACAAAATATTTTTATAAAATTAAATATAGTTTTACGTGGATTAAGTGCAATACATGTGAACGAAGAGTTCATAATGTGTGAGTAGGTGGTGTATGCTACAAATTTAAGACTAAAGAATTGAAAAATGAAAACTTCACTTGTATCTTATGCAATAAGTATATTAATTAAGTACCTATTTTATAATTACAAAATAATTAAGTACAAAATAAAAACTAATATGAAATAAAGATAAACAAACTAATACAATACCTATTGTAAGTAATGAATGGTTGGTTATATAAGTTGGATGTAACTTATAAATTACACGTAGAGTAAAATGGAATCTATTACCTAACATAAAATTGGGTACCTATGTAACTAAGTCATATCTTTAAAAGTGGGAATTAACTAGGTAGGTAGTAAAAATGTTTAAATTAAAAAAAAAAAGTTAATTGTTTTAAAATTAACTTAAATTCAGAATGTAACCAGTTAAATTTATTATTTATTAACTATCAACTTTTGACTTAGAAGAATCTTGTGTTCGCTTAACTTAGGTTATTTTGAGTTAGTTATATTCATTAACATGGCCACACTTACAAATCTTAGTGTTAACTCCACCATTGACGGTCCTCAGTCCGTATGAAAAAGGAGGAAGGGCGCTTTAGAGACATTTTTATTTTTTAATTGAAGTATTAAAAATTAATCATGCCTCTCTTGGTTTTAAAGTTATGTATTATTCTTTTAAATTGTTTTTAAATATTAATATTATTTTCTATATTGTGTTTTTTTTATTTTGTAGGATATACCATACTGCCATTGTCCAACTGTGAAGAAGTAGGTAGCCAATTTTAATAGTGCAGATCTTCGAAGACCAAGATGTGTAGATGTGTATTGGAAAATTACAAAATATACATAGTTCAGACTTCAGAAATTTAGTTAGACATGAGTTATGGAAAATGTATTCATTAATTTTTGATCATTCAAAGTAGCTTTATGATAAACATTAGTGAAATCCTAATAAATGTATTATCTATCTAATAATTGTATTAATTATAATTAAATAAGATTTTATATTTAACTTATGATTAATACAGCAAATAACTAAATTACTAATTGGTACAATTTGAATATTCCAATTCAAAATTGTTTAAACAACTTTGTATTTACATTTTTCTAAAACAAATAATAATTTGATAATAATAACAGGGGGACCAATTTTTTTTCACCGTGGCTTAGAGGGTGCCAATTTTTTTTTTTAGGCGCAAAATGTCTAAATGCGGCACTGAACCGGCTGAATGGTCTAGCTTTAATGAATATCTATAGATATATACCTATACCTACTCAGAGGTTATTTATGAACTTGCACTCCAATACCGCAGCTTAAAATTCACCTAGGTTCTCAATTCATCATAAATCATAATATGTTCCATATTATTATTATTTCTTTTTTTGTGATTTATAAAATAAAAGTTATTATTTTAGTTATACCTAGTATAAAAGTCTTATACGACTTGTAAATTGTACACATACTTATTATAATTATTTTCATTAATATAATATTACATAGGCGGATATCTGGTTACATCCATGGGGGGGGTTAACATTTTTTCCATATCCATTAGTGTCAACACATTATTAAATATTTCAACCTGCAAGCTAGTGGATCTCCTACTTTATTCTAGCTGAGGCCCAAATATGTATAGGTTATATGAAAATAAATAAATAAGTATTTAAAGCTATTTAATTTGTTTTTATTTTAATGTTACCTATTAATCTATTTATTTTTTCAAATACAGTATCGATATTAATACATTTAGTAATGTTTTTTCAGTCAAACGCTTTAGCCATTAAAAATGTATTCGTGTTGTGTGAAGCAACACACATAAATCATATAAAATAAAAATGATTAACATGTACAATTAGAAAATATATATAATTTATTTAAGAAAAGGAATTATTATCGGTCAATAGTATTACATACACAGTTTATTAATTACACGGGAAATGTATAATTATTAAAATATAACTATCAATTGCATTTGGTACTGACAACATTATAGTTATGTTATTTTGTTTTTTTTTTAAAACTACATTAATTATATTATTCTCCTTAATATTATTTATTTCTATTTAATTAGTTAATTAATATTAAAATTTACTGTTATTATTTTAATAAATAGTTCAATATCTTAAATGCCATATTAGATACTTTTGATTTTATCCATATACAGAATTATTTTATAGACTGGTCTTTTGTTTGTACAGTTTTATAAAAACAAATGTACACAATAATTATTGAACTTAATTTTTTCTTAAAATACAACTCAACTCTCAAGATTGAATGTATCAATCAATGACAATGTATTATTTATAATAATTTTATGCACTGTTTGTCATGAGTGAAGATTCTTATGCAATATCTTGTATATTCCTCCACTCTTATGAAATAAAAGCGGTTATGTAAAAAACAAAACAAATTTTAGGTAAGATTAATATAATGTATTATTTTCAGGTCCAGCAACTACAATAGAAAATCATAAATAAAAATAAATTAAATTTTAAATTTTATTGTTCTTGTCATAATTGAAATAAATGTCATAATCGTAATTTAACAAAACTGTACACCTGCACAATATTAACAGTACATTTGTAATTGCACCAACCACAATCCCGTTAATATAAATGTAGACTCGCCCATAATGGATTACATCCGTACAACATAATTGCACAGTCCACACTAATCTTTTTTTCCTGATAAAATCTCAACATGATTGCTCACCAAATGATACAGGTATCAATGCATTTTGTACATACAGATACAACATATTACACATTTTAATACTTACATCATATTATTACGTAAAACATACAATAAAAATATTATTAACAGTTTTCAAAATTATTTTAATTGTTAGTTTAAATTTTTCTATTTTATTTGTATTTAATAATATTGTTTTTTACAAAAATATGTGGTGGACTATGCATTTAAAATATCACTATTATTCAATAATAGTACTGTTCATTAAAATGTATAACATAGCATATAATTTATTATGGTAGGTTTGTCAAGCAGCAAGCTGCTACTTGTTAACTGTAATTTCTTACAACACACAATATTGACATCTAGTCTCACAAATCTACATCCAATTTTATGAAATATAAATTTCATGAATTTTTTCTATATTTAAATAGTTAAAAGACACATACCTAACTCACGTTAAAATGTATATATTGTAAAAAAAAAACCGTACAAACACTGATATTCTTACCATTAATAAAATATTAACATTTGTCAAAAATGTTAGAGTACCTAATACATTGTTATTCAGGTGACGGCCACCAAGGTTTTGTTGTAGTATAAGTAAAAATTAATAAATAAAAACACAAGACAAAATTATTATGAACACAATTGTTTAATAAGAACTCTGTTAAAATGTTACAAATATCTAAAAAAAAAATAAATGCAAGAGGTTTTATTTAAAAAAAAAAATGTAATATTTATATTATAATCTGTAATAATTGTATTTAAATGATGACAATTTATTTTTATAAAGGTAGAGAATAGAACATTATTATTAATTGGTCGATTAGGTCAGTAAATAATCCTGTTTCCATGCACATATTTCAGATAATCTAATTGTTCCGGGGTAGTGCCATCTCTGATGTAATATAACGACAAGGTTAGACGTTTTTGCATACGTATGCCAAGCAGTCTAAATGCCGCAGCCTTGGAACACATACTTCTACCCCATAGCCAGTATGACCGTCGTGTAGAAATACATGGTCCAAGGCTGAGGCATTCGACATTTAGACTGCATGGAATACGTATGTAAAAAAGGTTAGCCTTGGAGTGGGGCAGCTAATTATATTTCTGAAGTAGGTACGCACATGAAAATGGATTTGTTTTGGATTAAATTACCATAACCACAGCAGAAGGTGAAAACAACGGATCAGGTTTGAGATTGAGTGCGTTACTGACGGCCTGGCTGCTCTTGAACGCTCTTCAGTCCTAATCGATTGACGTATGGAAAAACTGTAAACAAAATAATAAAATAAATACATTTTTAGTGATCCATTCGTCGAAAAGTTTTGGTGAGCAATGAGAAGTCATAAATGCAAGTAGGTAGGTAACGTTAAAGGCTCAGTCAAACAGAGAGCGAGCTGTCATGGTGTACGGGTCAGCAGACCTCTTCCTGTTTGACTGAGCCTTAACACTGCCATTTGTTATTTTGGTCTTATAAGTGCATTACAAAGCAAATTTACACTTAGGAGAAAGAGTTTAGCTCCGTTAGTTTAAAATTAGAGTGAATCGACTTATGATAAAATTTGATGGTAAGTACATTATCTGTGTTTGTCTGTGGGTTTTGTACAATTGTTCAATATTTTAGTGAGTTATGTAGCGTAAATAAAAAATCCTCATAATTCACTTGAAAACTGAAAAAAAAACAACACACATAGGTACAAACACAGAAAATGTTCTTACCATCAATTTTCATAATAGGTTAATTAGAGTTAAACGTGATCTTCTGAGCGTAAATTTCTATTTTATGCACTTGTGAAACGGAGACAAAAAAAATCTGTGTAGCGTCCTCTTAATAATGTGTGCATA